GCAATTTAAAACAAGATGGAAGCCACGAACCCGAATGTATTCACGTTCTTGGACTACGAGTGCAAACCTCTGCAATAGGAAAACGAACTTATTTTTGCATGCATCGTGCGCTCATATCGTCTCAGCAAACGCGCCTGAGCAACAGTTCACAAAGAGACAACTAACCAGCACAACAACATCACCAGCACAACGAGATCACCACCACCAGCCACACTCCACGCTTTACCCACTGCACGCTCCACACTCTACACTTTACACTCCACACTCTACACTTTACACTCTACATTTTACACTCTACACTCCACACTCGACACTTTCCATTCCAATCTCCAAACTCTACACTTTACACTCCACACTCCGCACTGTACACTTTGCACTTTACACCCCTCACTTCACACTTGACACTCCTCACTCCACACTCAACACTTTACACTCTACACTTGACACTCTACACTCCACACTACACTTTACACTCCACACTACACTTTACACTCCACACTTTCCACTTTACACTCCCCACTCCACACTTTACACTCCACACTTTACACTGCAGACTCCACACTCTACCCACTGCACACAGCACACTCCACACTCCACACTGTACACTCTACACTCTACACTCGGCACTCCACACTCTACACTTTACACGCTCTACACTCCACACTTTACACTCCACACTCTACACTTTACACTTTGCACTTGACACTCCTCACTTTACACTCCACACTCCATACTTTACACTCCACACTCGACACTTTACACTCTACACTTTACACTCTACACTCCACACTTTACACTTCACACTTTACACTGCAGACTCCACACTCTACCCACTGCACACAGCACACTCCACACTCCACACTCTACACTTTACACTCTACACTCGGCACTCCATACTCTACACTTTACACGCTCTACACTCCACACTCCACACTTTACACTGGGCACTCCTTACTCTACGCAAAGTTTGCACAAACTACTTCCCAATACGACTGTGTACTACAAAGCTTGCACAAAGTCGCTCCCAGTACTACTGTGTACTACAAAGCTTGCAGAAAGCACTTCCCAGTACTACTTTGTACTACACAGCTTGCACAAGCACTTCCCAGTACTACTTTGTACTACAAAGCTTGCACAAACTACTTCCCAGTACTACTTTGTACTACAAAGCTTGCACAAAGTCGTTCCCAGTACTACTGTGTACTACAAAGCTTGCAACAACTACTTCCCAGTACTACTTTGTACTACAAAGCTTGCACAAAGTCGATCCCAGTACTACTCTGTACTACAAAGCTTGCACAAAGTCGCTCCCAGTACTACTGTGTACTACAAAGCTCGCACAAAGTCGTTCCCAGTACTACTGTGTACTACAAAGCTCGCACAAACTACTTCCCAGTACTACTGTGTACTACAAAGCTTGCACAAACACGTTCCAGTACTACTGTATATTGTATACTACAAAGCTTGCACAAAGTACTTCCCAGTACTAAAGCTTGCACAAACTACTTCCGAGTACTACTTTGTACTACAAAGCTCGCACAAAGCACTTCCCAGTACTACTTTGTACTACAAAGCTTGCACAAAGCACTTCCCAGTACTACTGTGTACTACAAAGCTTGCAGAAACACGTTCCCAGTACTACTGTGTACTACAAAGCTCGCAGAAACACGTTCCCAGTACTACTGTGTACTACAAAGCTCGCACAAAGCACTTCCCAGTACTACTGTGTACTACAAAGCTTGCGCAAAGTACTTCCCAGTACTACTGTGTACTACAAAGCTCGCACAAACTACTTCCCAGTACTATTGTGTACTACAAAGCTTGCACAAAGCCGTTCCCAGTACTACTGTGTACTACAAAGCTTGCACAAACACGTTCCAGTACTACTGTGTACTACAAAGCTCGCACAAACACGTTCCCAGTACTACCGTGTACTACAAAGCTTGGACAAAGTCGTTCCAGTACTACCGTATACTACAAAACTTGCACAAACTACTTCCCCTATAGACACGGCAACATCTACGCAACAAAAGACACGAGGTCCTGCAGCTTCCCCTATAGACACTGCGACATCCACGTAGCAAAAGACACGAGGTTTTGCAACTTCACCTCTAGACACGGCGACATCCACGCAGCAAAAGACACGAGGTTTTGCAGCTTCCCCTATAGACACGGCGACATCCAGGTAGCAAAAGACACGAGGTTTTGCAGCTTCCCCTGAGACACGGCGACATCCACGTAGCAAAAGACACGAGGTTTTGCGGTTTTGGAGCTTCCCCTATAGACACGGCGACATCCACGTAGCAAAAGATACGAGATGTTGCAGCTTCCCCTATAGACACGGCGACATCCACGCAGCAAAAGACACGAGGTTTTGCAGCTTCCCCTATAGACACGGCGACATCCACGTAGCAAAAAACGCGAGGTGTTGCAGCTTCCCCTATAGACACGGCGACATCTCACGTAGCAAAAGAAACGAGGTTTTGCAGCTTCCCCTATAGACACGGCGACATCCATGTAGCAAAAGACACGAGGTTTTGCAGCTTCCCCTATAGACACGGTGACATCCACGTAGCACAAGACACGAGGTGTTGCAGCTTCCCCTATAGACATGGCGACATCTACGTAGCACAAAACACGAGGTTTTGCAGCTTCCCCTACAGACACTGCAACATCCACGTAGCAAAAAACACGAGGTGTTGCAGCTTCCCCTATAGACACTGCGACATCTACGAAAAAAAAGACACGAGGTTTTGCAGCTTCCCCTATAGACACTGCGACATCTACGTAGCAAAAAACAGGAGGTTTTGCAGCTTCCCCTATAGACACTGCGACATCAACGTAGCAAAAAACACGAAGTTTTGCAGCTTCCCCTATAGACACTGCGACATCTACGTAGCAAAAAACACGAGGTTTTGCAGCTTCCCCTATAGACACTGCGACATCTACGTCGCAAAAGAGACGAGGTTTTGCAGCTTCCCCTATAGACACTGCGACATCTACGTAGCAAAAAACACGAAGTAACACGAGGTTTTGCAGCTTCCCCTATAGACACTGCGACATCTACGTCGCAAAAGACACGAGGTTTTGCAGCTTCCCCTATAGACACTGCGACATCTACGTAGCAAAAAACACGAGGTTTTGCAGCTTCCACTATAGACACTGCGACATCTACGTAGCAAAAAACACGAGGTTTTGCAGCTTCCCCTATAGACACTGCGACATCTACGTAGCAAAAAACACGAGGTTTTGCAGCTTCCCCTATTGACACTGCGACATCTGCGTAGCAAAAAACAGAAGGTTTTGCACCTTCCCCTATAGACACTGCGACATCTACGCAGCAAAAAACACGAGGTTTTGCAGATTACCGCATAGGACCTGCGACATTCTACGTCGCAAAAGACCGAGGTTTGCAGCTTCCCCGATAGACACTGCGACCTATCTCGTACAAAAAAACACGAAGTCACACGAGGGTTTTGCAGCTTCCCTCAGACACTCGGGACATCTACGTCGCAAAAAAACACGGTTTTTGCAGCTTCCCCTATAGACAAGGCGACATCCATAGCAAAAAAACACGAGGGTTTTGCAGCTTCCCCTATAGACACTGCGACATCTACGTAGCAAAAAACACGAGGTTTTGCAGCTTCCCCTATAGACACGGCGACATCCACGCAGCAAAAGACACGAGGTTTTGCAGCTTCCCCTATAGACACGGCGACATCCACGTAGCAAAAAACGCGAGGTGTTGCAGCTTCCCCTATAGACACGGCGACATCTCACGTAGCAAAAGAAACGAGGTTTTGCAGCTTCCCCTATAGACACGGCGACATCCACGTAGCAAAAGACACGAGGTTTTGCAGCTTCCCCTATAGACACTGCGACATCTACGAAAAAAACACGAGGTTTTAGAGCTTCCCCTATAGACACTGCGACATCTACGTAGCAAAAGACACGAGGTTTTGCAGCTTCCCGCATAGACACTGCGACATCTACGTCGCAAAAAACACGAGGTTTTGCAGCTTCCCCTATAGACACTGCGACATCTACGTCGCAAAAAACACGAGGTTTTGCAGCTTCCCCTATAGACACGGCGACATCTACGTTGCAAAAAACACGAAGTTTTGCAGCTTCCCCTATAGATACTGCGACATCTACGTCGCAAAAAACATGAGGTTTTGCAGCTTCCCTTATAGACACTGCGACATCTACGTCGCAAAAGACACGAGGTTTTGCAGCTTCCCCTATAGACACCGAATTAACGACGCGAAAAACGACGCGAAAACGACGCGAAAACGACGCGCCGACCAACTGGCGGCGAACAAAGGTCCAACCCCCAGACCCCCAACTATAAACGGGAACCCTTCGCTACGCATTCGGGAAAAATGCGCATGCACTTATATCACCTGACATCAGCCTTCTGGCTGGATACGTTGAGTTGTGGCTTCGGTATGTTTCCACAAATTGTTTACTAGCAGAGAACAGGCTGAAACAGGAGGGCTTGTTGCGGTCCCATTCGGTCCGAACAAACCGCCTCATTGGACAGGAGGACGAGCAAGTTGTGCAATCCATGACACATCCTGATAGCCAGAATTCACAAGGCTCCCATAGCATCCCATAGCTACAGGCATTGCATCGGACTTTCATATTCCCTGAGATGAGGGCAGAAATTCTCTGGCCGGAGCCTGCGGCCTGGAGTATCTTGAAGTAGCGACACAGTGTGACCTGTTTCAAATTTTGCCCTTATCTCATCCTATCTCATTCTGACCTATTCTAGGTATTTGGATAGAAACACCCAACATCTTCAATTGGTGGTCCCGTCAGCCACTTAGTCTCACACGCCACTGGGTTGCGCTGCGCATCCAGGAGCAAAAGAATCTTTGGGAGATCTGGCCCAGCAGCTTTGACCTGGAAAGGCAGAATAGAAACAGCAAGACCGTGGTATTGTCACTTCGCTACTCCGACGTGTCTGACGCGCATTCAGCCCATTCCAATCATTCCAATTTTGGCAGTCAATGCGGTCAATGCGTGCTTCACATTGAATCGTCAACGCCACAAGGCAAGCCACGGATTCTGGCACCTTGTGGCACTAAAGGGTTCCTTCATTGCAGATTCATCGTTCAGTGACGATGGCATGAGAGCAGAACAGCACAACAATGATGCATTCCGTAAGCCAAATCTCATTTTCAAGACAATCATATTTTCAATGGCGATCACACAACCGCATATTTGCGTTTTAGTACGTATGTTTTAGTAATGAATTCCAAGAAGAAGATGGCAGTTCACTCATCTGGGGCCCTGTCGCTCGTGCTGCAAGTCTTCTTCATGGCCTCCATGACATAGTTTCGATTCATGGCCTTCTCTGCTCCGCTCATCTGATCTTCTTGTAGTTGCTGCATCATTTTCTTCAAATGTCTGTCGATCAAGCTCCAAGCGATACTCCATGTTCTTCATCTTCTGCTGTTCTATACGCTGCTGTTCCGCCATTTCATATTCCTTTGCAGCAGCATCTGCAGCAGCCTTCTGGTGATCTTTCTGTTCCTCCATGAATCGTCTTCTGCTCTCCTCCCTCTCAGCAATTTGCTGGAAAAGGAAGGCCTGATTCAGATGTCTTTCCATCTTCAAGTGTTCTTGCTTGGACAGCTCAGCCTGCTCAGCACGGGCCATAGCCTCATTGCGAATCTTCATGACAATTTCTGGATCGTAGTACACTTCTTCACCTTTGCGCTTTGCACGTGGTGGAGCTGCTGGAGTTTGATCTCGAATGCGAGGTTTTGAAGCTTTGCTTCGGGCCTCTTGTGCTTCCAAGAACTTGGAATACTCTTCAAGTCTCTGCTTCTCTTCTTGAATTCTTTGTGCCCGAGCCTCAGGGCCTGCCTTTTTCTCCTTGAGGGCTTCCTGAACAAGTGCGGTGTGTGCTATTCGCCTTTCGTGCCTTTTCTCCTCAACAGCTCGCTTCTCGAGCTCAAGTTCTCTGGCAGCTCGCAGGATTAAACGACGATCCTCACTGGATCTTCGCTTCCGCTCGGCTTCCCGTTGCTGCAGCGCTGCCTCGCTATGGACTGCACGATCTCGGATCACCAGCTGCAGCTGCTGCAGCCGATTTTGAGCCTCGGTGACCTGGTCCTGCTTCCAACGTTCCAAATCCGCCTTTTGCATCTGGAAGAATTCAAGTTCATCTTCAGCAGCCTGTTTTTGTCTCAAATTCTTTTGATCCACTTGCTTCTGAAGAAATGCTCTCATCTCTTTTTGGGCGATCCTCCTTGCTTCCCTTTTCCGTGTTTCTTCTATCTCTGCTTCTTTTCTTGCCAACTTGGCGATCTGTGACCAGCGAAGCATCTCATCCTCTGGCACCCTTTGCAGATCACCAGCTTCAGAAGTCTGAATTCTTGGCGTTTCCTTCCGGGCAGAGCTGCAACCACGCGAAAGGCCTCGCAATTTCTCAGTTGCCTCAGACCTGGCTGAATAGCTGCTTTGAGATCTGCCACATCCAGATCCACTGCCTGCAAGCCTAGCTCGCAATCTCCTCTCCAATCTGCTCAGGTTCGAGTCTGAGACCCGGCCTCTCAGAAGAAAACGCTCAACCTCTTCTTCCACCGCAGGTGGTCTTGCGCCGACAACACCCAAGTGTCTATCAAGATCATCCAGCAATGCCAGCCTCAGCTCCTGGGTGGTCTTTTTCGCCAACCCTGCCACATCTTGTGACAGCCAAAAGATGGCTGGCAGTGGCGAGGCCATGGGGCAACTAGGTTCTTGCTTGATCCTGCTAACTGCAGAAGCTATATAACTCTGTAAATTCCATAAATGCATGCAATGCAAACCTTGGTCAGCCTCAACAAAATTTGACAATAATCCAGTTGCTTTTAATGTTTTTTTCCCCGAGTTTGTGAGGGCTACGCCATGCTACGCCGCTCAGCACAGGTCATTGATCCAAGTTGATCCAAGTCCCCAACATCCAGGCACTCTGCTAACTGCACGAGCTCTGGGTCCAAGCCTCAGAGAACTCTCAGCATCAGGCAATGATTGACCCCAACACGAAGGCTGATGCATGTTGTTTCCGGGAAAAACCCAGTGGCACGCAAGCATTCCAAACACCTATCATGTCTTGAAGTTCAAGATGCATGACCATCAGCGCAGCGTGACAGCAAAGTATCTTTCAGCTTAGTCCCCTGCAATCGCCCCAAAGGGGATGGCACACCGGGACATCCTCCATGGATCACCCTAAGATTAGCCTAAAATGTCCAATAAAAATGTGCCAGCCGCTGGCTACCTTCGCCATTCATATGGGTATGGGCCAAAATATGATGACTCCCACAGTCCCACAAAATCGAATTTGGGGATATTTGGGATTTGGGGTGCCAAAAGATTCGACCCATACCCGGTGTCATTGAAAAACGCAGAATCCCGTCCTTGCTCGATGTCCGAATCTGTCCGCACTGGAACAACACTCCCAAGGCCACTTGATTGTTGCCATCAGAGACAGCTGCAGCTTCTGCAGCCTGGTGCTTTGGCTGCTATCCAAGCACAAACAAACTCTCTAAGCCCTCCAAAGAGTCTCTCACCTAGATTACAAAACTCATCCAGCAGCAGAATTTCTAATCATGTCCCTCAACCATCCCACTGTCTCAACCGCAGGCAATCACGCATGTGCATATATACAACGACTCATTTATTTCATTCATTTCATGTCATTCCGTTTCATTCCATGCCCTCCCGTTTTGTTCCCTTCCGTTCCATTCCGTTTCATTTCATTCCCTTCCATTCCATTCCGTTTCATTTCGTTCCTTTCGTTCCATTTCGTTTCATTCCATTTCATGGCATTTCGTCCGTTTCATTCCGTTTCATTTCTTTCGATTCCATTTGATTCTATTTCATTCCACTCCACTCAAGTCAAGTTATTTCATTTCATGTCATTTGATTCCACTCATTCATTGATCGATCCATTCACTCATTCATTCAATCTCTCTCCATTCATTCAATCTACTGTATGTATCTGTTTATTCATGCATGTATGAACACCTCATCATATCTTCGAATACGGTCTGATACGTCACATCCGGCTCAGCTACCTACACCTAAGCAGCACCTTCAGGACAGCATTGTACAGATTCCTGTGATGATCCAGTTCCAGCTGGACCAATGGCCTTCGGAAACGCTGAAGAGAAAAAATATACATCACATACACAAGTCATACACATACACATTGCGTATCATTGCATGACATGATATTGTACTACACACATATATATATACACATACTACATATATTAGATATATTATATATTATACACGTATATGATCATATATGATCGTATATGATCGAATGTGGAACGTATACTGTGGGGGCAAGTTTCAATTAGTTTCTGCACTTGTTACAAGCATTGAACATCATTAAACTCAGAACTTCAGATCAAGCCTTGGCCGTGGTAATGGGTACAGCGCAGCCACCTGTCATTGGCAAAGCTGCACACTTCAGTGGCATTGCGCGGAATGTGCCAGTGATGCTGTGGAGGACCACATCCTCAAGCGACTTCCAGAGCCAGTGTCTGACATCCAAATGCAATGGACCGGGACCTGCCAAGATCGACTGGTTGTGGTGGCCAAGAAGCTAAGACATATTGAGACATGCCAAAAAACATACCCAGCTGCCTGGGGTTTCAGGTGCCAAGCCATTACTTCGCGTTCTGCAAGAGAAAGGCTTGGACAAAGCTGCTTTCCTACGTGGTCTTGCAGGTGTGTCGGTGAGGGTAGAGCCGGGTAATATAAACTCAACTGAAATCAGGGGAGGAGTTCCGAACCTCCAGCTGCCACAACAACAGCTACGACTCCTGCAAGCTGACAAATGAACACTGCAACTTTCTTGGTTTCTCAACCGACTATGTAAAGTTGATTCACGTTTCATGGTTCCTTCAAGTGGTACTTGATTGGCTTGCCGCAGGGAAAGCTTTGCCAATGCCTAAGTGAAGCAAAGCAACCTTGCAACAATCTTGGCATGGGTGTCTTGGGTCACGGCAGTAGGCACAGCTCTTGCTGCAACACCTCAGTGATCTACAACTGAAAGGTGTCAACCTGTATAACCTGTGTCAACCCGAGGCTATTTGCATTGTCAATCATTGTCCTGTTCACTGACTTGTTCCTCTTCCTTTATCCCCTTCTCGTTTGGAAGGCCATGACCATTGCGTACTGGGCTGTTCAAGTCTGCTGCAACTTCTGCAAGCAAAGGCCCCGCCTTTGTAAAATGCTTGGCACAAGGGCTGTTGTGGCATGGACTGCTCTGCTGCTTGAAGAGAAATGGTAGCAAGTAAGAAGAGAAAACCAAGACATGAACTGGCATATCCAAACTATGTGCGCGACATGCATGCCACATGTGGCATGATAGACTGCAAGACAAACCTTGGCCGGCCATGTATGACACAAGTCAAAAAGTAGCTGCGACCCTCAAATCATTGAATTGAAACATGTCAAAACAATGTTATGCAAATTGCATTTTAGTTGCCAACGTCCCTCCTCTCCTCAGTTGCAGCAAGCCGACCTCAGCAGGGTCTTCCAAGACTTGGCAGGGGTCCCAATATGAGGATACCACACGATGCCAACGGAGAGCAGAAAGATGTGTGTGTTCATTACAGTTCATTACTATCGTGGAGATACGTTGCCATGCTCTCTCGAACGTATGTACCTAGAGTGGAGATTTTGTGTTTGTGGACCTGCAAAGCTTGAACATCTGGCTTGTATCTGGGCGTATAGCCTGCGCTTTGATTTTCGAAACCTCACCTTTAAGCACTACAGCATCTACAGCACAGGTCCAGTATCGAAATCTGCTCAGTGTCAGTTGCGAGTGCTACCTGTAGGGAAGAGAACCTCACTACGTACACCTGAGGGTATCTGCAGGTATGTGGAGGTATATCTCTCGTGTATGGAACTGTGCTTGGTTACTAAATGGATGCTTGCATGGCGTCAATGGCAAGAGCTACATTGCGGCAATTTTCATGTGTTTGTGCAATGTAGTACGTCATGAAGTGCCATGTGATGCTGTTTCAAACAAGGTAGCAGTAGAATAATATGCCCCATAATATGCCTCGACACTGCATGCGCAAAGCCTGCTGCTCAAACCGAAAGTAGCACATCAAGTTCCTGACAACCAATTGCCATTGCCAAAGCACCCAGCTTCCCATTGCTAGGTCCTGGATTGGCATTTGGTGGGTGCAGCATGTTGCACCTGGACTTTCAGCATCGCAGGCTGGGCAGGTTGGGCAGTTCGTGGTCTGGGGAAAAGTGGTTGTCTCCTGGTTCACCGTGTTCTGCCAGAACCAAGCGATCTGGGACATACAAACTATCCGCTCGTCCATCTGTTTCCACGAGTCCTGCAGGGTCTTCTCAGTTTACATCGTTTCACAGCAAATCTGTTACCAGGTACCAGCCTTCACCAAAGTGGCCCAGCCGCCCAATCTTTGTCCGCCGGGAGGCAGAGGTGCCTGGTGATGATGGATAGTGCCTATTATGTACCTATGGATGATCAGCGAAACTCATGAATACTGAACAACAGCAGATTTATACCTGTAGAATCCTTGTGATTCCTTCTGATTCTTCAGACCTCGTATCACCTCATACCATTGCCACCTGAACTGCTCAGCACCGGCCCAAACGGTCTGAGTCAAGGACATAGCCCAGCCACACAGTGTTGGAGACAGTCCATTGCCAGTAAGTATTGAGGCCATAGCACTAAGTGTGGGAGAGTGAAAAATGGGCTGCCCTTGTTTTTTTTGATCAATGATAAAGCAAATGGGGGAAGTGAGGAAAGAAACACGTGTCGCAACTGCATGAACTTACACGATACATGTGGGTATGACTGCAAGGTACAGGTGGCAAGCTGCCGCTAGCATCTGCTTCCGTGTGCCTATTTAATCCTCTTTGCATGCTTTGCCAATCATTCCATTCCTATCCATTCCTTCCTTACGTTGAAATCAAATGGCTCTTTACTCACAATCTTGCCCAGTCTATCCAGCTCTTCAATGGACATGCCCCGGTACAGTACGGTCCCGGTATGCCCGGTATGCGGTACCACATCATCTGGGGGCCCTGCAGCTTTGGGTTTGCCTCTCTGCTCAGCTGAAACCTGGTCTTGACAATGTCCAGGGGCTGCACCTTACTCCGCGGCTGGCAGATGGCTGCCGGTTGCAGTGGGATCAGTGGGCAGCCAAGGAGCTACAATGGATTCCACCACCCCAGCCACTCCACCAGCAAGGGCTGCATGGTTCATGTCTGAAAATCAATCTGGACAGCTGCAGGGCTACTTGTACAACCTTTCCAAAAAAAAAAGGAAAAACTCGTCATCCAGAGTTTGATGCCACTATACCGTTTGCTTGCGGCCTTTTGTGCTGGTCAACTTGCCTTACTGTTGGTATGTTGAGCCTCTGGCAGCAGAAACAATATAAAAAAATTGCATGCCAGCTAGCTCGGAAAGCACCACATGCACTGGGACTGAAACACTACTGTAGCATGTTGGGAAGTACCGTCAACCTGAACCAAGAAATTGTTCCCAATTACCAAAGAGTAAAAAGGATTCTATAAAAAGGGTTGAATTGAGGAGGATTTTCAAAGACCATAAAATAATCTTTGCCATGAAACTCACCAGCAGAAAGCTGCTCGGACCTGTAGTCTATTACTCTAATTGCTGTCCATCGCGTGTCCCGTCCCACCTTAAAACGTTCCTTGTGCGTCTCGCAGGTGGGGGGAAGTGAAAATCGATAACTCAGCAGGCTTAGCTGCAAACATTGGATCCGTCATGGTAGTCCCGAGAAGAAGGACCTGCAACCAGCTGACATGCGGCAAGCTCCCCCAGTTTACGACAGCATGGCCTGGCAAAGCCATCCTTCGCACTCATGACCTCGGAAAGGAAAGTGTTTGGAGAACGCTGGTTATGCTTCGGAATGCTTCGGAAGAGCATGCTGGACGCTGCTCAGAGTTCCAGGTTGCATCACACACTTGCGGTTCGAAAACTCGCGGAGGGCATCTTTGCCCCAAAATCCAGCACCTTCCATGGCTTCCGCGATTTCAAGGGGCATTCATGGGCATTCCAAGTACGAATGGCTTTTAATCACATCCCTTTGAAGCATTCCAACTTCATGGGCTGTCACTTTATGCGGTTTAGCACTGTTGGTGCCATGAGACCACCACAAGCACCTGTTCCACTTGGCCCTGTTCCACCGAAGCTCACGGCGTAGTTCCCGATCATGCGCTGGCGGCGACAGTTTCATGAAGGGATTAGCAACCCGCGCATTTCTCATCAAACAAAGCTTTCACAACTAGCATGACATCATTTGGAGCAAGACGTAGCATATCCTAGCATGACATCATTTTCCCTGCTCAGTCTTCCTCTTGCAAGGTCGTTTTGTGGTGTTGACCTGTGGGCCACCATTGACCGCAATGTTTCCCGCAGGAACACCACTCACAAAGGATTTCTCAGCCGCTTCTCCCTGCAAAATTGCTGCGCAATTTGATTGGCGGTTGAAGGGAAATCATCTCACCAAAAATGGTTGTTCTTTCTCAACACCCACAGACAGGTTCACACAACTTGGTCCTGTAAGAGGTAATGCTGGTGACCTAGGCGTATACAACATATATCACAATGCAATGTATGAACAAATCTTAACGCCTTAAACCTTAAGAAATTTTATAAGGATATCAGGCAGAATGACCCCTGTGTTGATGCTGCTCAACTCATGATCATGATGGACCCTCTGCGCGCAATGCTCTTTGCGATGTGCATATACGATATAACATATAGTTTTGACTCCTCCCCTGCTAACGTATCTGCATGTGTATGTTTGCTTCTCAAAAAATGAATCGCATCATCAGTAGAGCAAAAACAATCAAAAACAGGCCCAGCCAGAGGCTACCTGTGGCCACACGTCATGTGAGGACTCTTTGCATTCTTCTATATGGTAGGTGCAATTCCAGTGAGAAAAACACCAAAGAAAGTTGAACACACTTGCATGGGTTGAGACAGCAGGCAGTAAACTTTCAACTTCAACTGTGCGGACTTGACTTAACATCACCTTTGTAGCCTTTGTACTTGTCAGAGATTTCGTCTTGCGAAGCTCCCAGTCGGTGTCCAGTGTCCAGCCTTCGTGTAGCAGTATGCAATCAGCGGCTTCGGCCCGACACGGTTGATGATTCCAATAGCCTAGCAGATTCCAATAGAGCTGGAGTAGGGAGGGGTCCTAGCCTCTTCCACCAGCAATAAACCTCATCCACGCTGCTCACAGCCAGAATTGGAATGATGGGGCCAAAAATCTCGCGCTTCAGTACCTCAAAACAATCCAGAAAAGGATGCTGCGGGGCTCTCTTGAATTCTATCAGATTTGCAGAACATGAAGCGGACTGTAACACTAGACATTCATAAGCCTATGTATGACTACTTTAAACATCTTTAAACATCTTTAAACTACTTTAAGCCATACTACTTCTGCACTTTGAACTTAGGGCGCACAGCGCGGTCAAACGATGGAGACAGGAGGCCGGTCATAGGCACTGACATGTCCTTGGGTCCGAAAATAATGAAAATCAAGAATCATACCCCCGCTCTGCATCCACAGGTGCCAGTTCAACACCATAGCTGGTGCAAGAATCGAACCACAGAACACTCTCCTATACTTATCCAATTACTATCCTATACCTTCTTCTACCGGTGCAGAATTTCGAAAAGCAGGTTGCAGCAGGCAGCTGGCCTCATCATTCAGCTGGAACTCACCGTCCATGGTGGGTATCTCAGGCACCATCTGCACATGGAACCATCCCGTCACTGTGAAAACAATCATGGCATCATTGGGTGGAATCATGTGGAAACCATTGGATACCTATATAACTACAACATACTACAACTTCAACGTGGTGCAAGAACCAGCCAGTAGCCATGGCCAGCAAAACCTGAGGCATAAACGCATTGGACGTCTGCATCCTTCAGAAGAAACTTCACGGATTCGTATTGCTTTCGGCCAATAAGCCGAACTTGTCGCCTGAACAGCAAAAAGAATCGCGTGAAGAACATCCTGATTGCCTTGAACATCCTGCGGCACTGGGTGAAAATGTCAAATTTTGTTTGCCTTGTGCTTTGCTTCACTCCCACTTTTTCACTCCAAGGCCATCGAGCATATGCGGCGGTGCGCTGGCCAGCTGTAATTTCGGAAAACAATGACTCTGGGCACAAATGAAACGATTATGAAATTGCCATTGTATCATACAAGAGAACTCCAAGATATGCCAAGTGGAATATGAATAGATACGATATAATTGAGCTTTACAAGAAACCCCGAGCCCGAACAGATTCACTCTTGCGCTTTCTTGTGCCTTCGGTGCCTTCGGCAGTCTCCAAGCAGCGCTCTCGCAACACGATTGACATTTGTTTACTGCAAATGCATGGACCCATCCCCTTCCCGCAGTTCCTCCGGGAATCTCTCCGTTGAATGCACGAGTGACCGGGCTTGGCGGTGACGCATTCGCAATAGACGGGTGAGCCTCGACCATTGCGTCTCGAAAAGAGCCAATGTAATCAGAAGCACAAAAATACCCTCTGTATTTTCAAGCAGAAGCTCCACCATCAAGCCGAAGACTAATGCGGACTCGGTCTCTGTGTGGAAAGGCTGGAAAAAGAGTATGCTTCGGACAACAAGGGAAATGGCAAGGACGACCGTACACTTGGAGGCAATCACTAAGATTGCAAATTTCAGGTTTGCCAAAGCAGTGAGTTGAGACGCTCCACTGTCCAAGAAGCGGTCCTCTAATAACGTGCCATTGATTGCGCTTGCGAACTCGGATGAAGCATTTTCGATTTCCTCCAGTTCCAAAGTTCGCCTGCTCAAAGGCGGTGTCATCTGGCGACTGGCCCTGATGGGTAATCTTGTTGGGCTCCTGCTGCTACCCAAATGCTGATAGCAGGTGGGTGAATCTGGTTCGAACTCCACCAGACTGTTGGCTACCTGAAAGGATAGGGCGGGTTGCGGACTT